CCTCACACGCATCTCCCACTCTCATTCTCACACCTAAATGGCAGTGTGACCATGCCGGCCTCACACGCATCTCCCACTCTCATTCTCACACCTAAATGGCAGTGTGACCATGCCGGCCTCACACGCATCTCCCACTCTCATTCTCACACCTAAATGGCAGTGTGACTTTCCTATTCCGACATACGTCCATTTCGACGTACAACCTATATGTCGGAACGGAACCCAGTTGTAAACCGGGGATAGTCTGCACTTATTATATTATTGACTAAACATTTATTCTCTGAACCTCCACCTTTCCCCAGAAAGCACCATGAAGTTTGCAAATATAGTGGTAAGAATTAAGGAAACGGGGGAGCGTACGCCTTAGACAAAAGGGAGACAGCTGAAAGAGGCAAGACAATAGGAACACGAGCCTTTGGTACAGTTATCTAGCCCTCATCACAACTCATAATGTTGCTGTCTTGACCTTGTAACCCCACACTCTCCTTCTCAGTGTCGCCAGAAGTTCAACATCTGAAAGTTATGCCAGCTACCCGCCATGCCAACGTGTCCTTCTTTGTAAAAGGGAACTTCTCCAGGTTCAACCTCTCTTGCCAAGTCAGAACCAGTGATGGAAACCTAACCGTGAAGGTGAGTGATACTGGCATCACCCCACAGAAGGAGGACTGTCATGGTGTCCTGGGCTGTTGGAGGTCTGTCACTGTTACCTGTCATTAGGGAACCTGTGAGTTTCCTTGAGCTCATCACAAAAACTTGAGTTGAAGACCTGTGTTGCGATTGTGTTCCTCTGCTGAAACAAGGCGGCATTTCTCAGGCCTGGCGTGACTTGTTCTCACTTATCCCATAATCTCCAGTATGTGGAAACCATTTTTTCCACAGGAGTCATTAAAGGGGCTGACCAGCAGCCGCTACCAGGTAACGATGGGTGGTTTGCAGCCCTTGGAGCAGTACACATTCGAGGTGCGCTGCTCTTTGGCAGGATCTGCCCGAGGGTTTGGACGATGCATCAGCTCCCAAAGATTCACAACACACACTGAACGTGAGTGACAGGAGGCGCTTCCCACACGTTTGATGTGTCCCTCGTTTAATAAGGTAGGGGCTTGTGTTTCACTTCTTTAACCAATAACAGTCTTCATTGAATGACATCACCACATTAAATAAATCCAGTGTGTTCTGTTAAGCATCAAGTTGCACAGATTTGTAAAGTACCCATTTTGTTGTGTATGCTTTTGTTAAGGGACAGGTCATAAATACAAAACTTAGGAAGACGATCACCTGCAAAGGCTGGACAGAGCAATGTAAGCAGGATAATATTAATAACTATACTAATAACAACATGGCTTGAACTGGCGACCTTCCAATCACAGGCACAGGGGCTGAGCCTGCTAAGTCACACACTGACTCCAACTCAATGGAAGGACCAATGTGGTGAAATCATACAATGAAGACTGTGATTGGTTAAAGAAGTGAATGACTGATAAAGAAGCCTTTATTAATGAACCACTAATCCCGGTCAGGGTCACCTGGGGCCTGTTCCACCTTGGGTAGGATCCCAGGCCTTTGCAGAACACATGCATAACAGGCAATTAAGAGACACCAAGTAGCCTAAGTGCATCATGGGGAGAACATGCAAACTCCACATATTGAGAATAGAGGCAAGTTTCAACCTTCTACCCTGGAGGTATGAGGAAACAGTACAAAACACTGAGCCACCATTCCACCCTGACAACATCAATAAGTTACATAAGTAATTTACACAATTAATAATAATTTAATTCATAGACATTTAGCAGCAATTCCCCAAACTTATGAGTTTCTTAAAATCAGAAACCTAGAGCAGAGTTTCCCAACCTGGTCCCAAACCTCCAGACAGTCCACATTTTTGCTCCCTCCCAGCTCCCTGCCAGACAGTCCACATTTTTGCTCCCTCCCAGCTCCCTGCCTGAGCAGAAACGTGAACTGTCGACAGGCTCCCGAGGATGGGTCTGTAGTAAACACAGTGACACAGATGTCACAGTGCTCCTTAGCTGACCACAGGCCACCTTGCCTTCCTGTAGTGCACACTTCACTGTGTTGTTGAATGTACACTTCATGCCTTCTTAGTCTACTTTTCCCTGTTTTACACAGCCCCATCTGTGAGCCTGGACCTATGGAGAACTGTACACCAATACAGTGGTACTCGCAATGTTACTGTCATGTGGAAGATAGTAGGTTTTTCTTTCATTTCCAAATGCCTCGTGTTCTTCCGCCTAGATTGTTGCAGAGAAAAATGTGATATTTTCCCCAGAGTTTTGTCTGCCTGATGAATTTCACTAACTCATAAAATTTTGGCCAAAAACCTCAGTCACAGGGATTGACACTGGAATATGGAAGCATTCAAGAAGGTCTAGAGGTTTTCTGATTCTCCCTCTGCTGCTTTTTTATTTAGATTTACAACAACAACAACTCCAAAGCAGACATTTCTGAGTATGAAGTTCAATTTGGGAACTCAAAGCAAATTGTAACTGGTCGGGACACAAATCACACCAGTATCAACATCAGTCTCAGCACATGCAGCATTGCTGTCAGAGCCGTCAATGAAGCCGGCTCCTCGCTCCCATCATACATCGTCATCCCCTCATTTAGGAATATGAGTGGTGAGAAAAAAACACTGTCTCGCTTCCCATGATGTTCTTGGGGGGGGGGGTCTGGATTCTCCAGCGATAATCTGATGCCATTGATGGAGTTTGGTTCCTAAAAGTATTACAGCTTGATTGTGGTTTTTATCTGAACAGTAACTTCTCCCAAGGCAAAGAGAGTGAGCGGCCATCCCGTGCAGGGCATCCCGCTGTCATGGGAAGCGTGCGATTGGGTTACCTGTGGCTACACTGTGGACTGGTCCAAGGCAACTGAACCCAAACAGGTTGTCAACTGGGTCAAAGTGTGTGTTGGGTCCACCAACCTCACCCTTTCTGCAGGTAACGCGATAAACTCAGGCTGACCTCTGTAGCCCCGATGTCCCACCCAGATGGTGGTTCAGCTGTGACCTCCTATCGTTTCGGCCTGGGTTAGTCCCATCTCTACCCCTGCTTTCACAGAGTGGTTCGAGCCAGGGTGCCGGTACACCTTCCGCGTCTTTGGCTGCCATGGAAACGGTTCATACCATGGAAAGCATGTTCTGGTGGAGGAGATTACAGGCTATGCAGAGGAGTTGGGTGAGTGTGGGTGTGTGTGTGTGTAGGGGGGGGAGGTCGGGATGCCACCTCCGTCCTGTAAAATTCCAGTCTTTGAAAAAAAATATTGCACATGGCGACCGGTTGCAACGGTTAGGTGTGTTTGATAGCGAAATCGTCATACAACCGGCCGTGCCCAGGTTACGATCAAGAAGCGTTCCCTAAGCCCGTCTTTAAGTTGAATTTATGAATTTATGGCGTTTATGAGGCAGAGCTTACTGGCAAAGCGCTTTGTGAGTCAATAACTGACACTAATGCAACACAGTCCAAATCACGAGGGACAATTTGGCAAAATACTTAAATGTGATAAAAATATGTAACAATGTCGAAGCAAATCAGCATAGGCTTCTTTAAATAATTTAAATTAAATTCATTTTTGAACAGTAATTGATGCTCTGCTGTTTATTGGTCTCTATTAGTTTATTAGTATCACATTAATGTTACCTGGTCATGACTGACCTGAGCTGCTGCCCAGGGGGTTTAAAAACACTTGTATCTCTTCTCTCCCAGAGCCCAGAAGAAAACCAACACTCAATCCTGTCAGTATTAGTTCATCTTCTGCTTTGTTAAGCTGGGAATTCAACGAAGACGACCCTGCTGACCCTGGTTTCATCACAGGGTACCAAGTCAACGTAACGGAAAGCCTTCAGCTTGGTGGGTGCAAGGCGACGCTCACGATCAGATATTTGACAATGATGTCAGTACAGATAAACCTACATACTTTCATAAGGTCCAGATCACTGCATCTGCTGCTTTCCATGCAGTCCCAGAGCTGACATGAGCCTCTTCATAGAGAACATTGGTGGTAAAGATCAAACATTCCGAACGACACTCACTGCCCACTTCTTCAGGACTCCCCTTCTGTTCTCAGAAGAGGCTCTTTTTGTAAGATGGACTCAACTACATATGTATCGGCCTTTAAATCCAGACATAAGTCATGGAAAGGCTGAGGACGTGATCACTTTCTAAGCACTTCCACCGAACAATATTTGCATAACCTTGTTTATTTTATTGTTCCAAACAAAACCATATATAGAACTGCTATGTACATTAAACCTATCTTTCAAGGAAATACGTTCATTATTTCCTAACCTTATGTCACTTATTATTATTTACTTTCACATGTTTACTTTGCCCTTTACATAATTCCTGTGAAGATTAATGGCCACAACATATTCTTTAAATTCTGGAAATATTCTTTAAAGATTCTTGTCCATGTTGGCATGATTACGTCACAAAATTGTTTCAGATCTGTCAGCCGCACTTTCTTGCGAATCTCCTGTGGACCCACATCCCAATGGTGGTCTGTTGGGTTCAGATCAGTTGACTGGGGAGGTTTTTGCACACTGAACTTCAGCTTGAATCAGGCTGCCCATTCCCACAGAACTGCTGCTCATTGCATGTGCCTTGCATTTGCCATTCCATGTACAGTCTAGAGACAGAGCAGCAGTTTCTGAAATGCTCAAGCCAGCCTGTCTAGCACCAATGACCACCTCATGGTCGCAGTCACTTGGACCACATTTTTCCCACATTCTGATGTTTGATCTGGCCATTTATTGAAGCTCTTGAGTCATTTATGCATGATTTTATACACTGAGCTGCTGCCACAGGGCTGATTAAATACTTGCATGAACAAGCAGGTATACGGGTGTTCCTATTAAAGTGGCCAGTGAGTGCGTAATGGATGTGATTGACCAGGTCAATTAAACTAGTGGTTGTTTTGGGTCATTCACAGCCAAATTAATCCACTGGGTTACAGCGGTCTTTGAGTAACACATTATAATATAAACATTCTGTTGGCTTGGTCTCAGTTGTTTCGGAACAGTTGAATGATTTGCACATAAAGAATTTCACTGTCGACAACCTACGGGATGGGACCAAGTACACCTTCCAGGTGCAGGCGCGCACGACGGCGGGTCTCGGGCCTCCTGACGAAACGACTGCCATTTCACCCTCAAACCGTAAGTGTACACATGCACTGCCGGACAAAGAGTAAGTAAAGACCTGGTATCCATACAGCTCACTAACACACTAATACAACAATCACTAAAGATGTACTGTAGAAAAAAGGTAGGGCATCTTCAGTTTCCTCAAGCTGTGTAGACCACTTTGGAGTCTGGCACATGATAATAAAATGATGTAGCGTTACACTGTATCCATCTCTCTTATCGTAGACACCAGATTTCTGGTACGGCTATTGATTCCCCTCCTGTTGCTTCTGAGTGTTGGGATCCTTATCGCTTTCTACAGCAAAAGGTGAGTTACCGCTGGTTAACTGCAGCAATGCTGAACTTTGGAATAAAAAATGGAAGAAAATTAAACACAGACAATCAAGGCAATGAACATTCAAAAATAAATATGATTTTCCTGTTATTTACTGCTTCATTTTATGGAATTGATTTTAGTTTAAATGAATCAATAAATGTGAACTAGTTTTCTGCTTTTGTGTTTTTTAAATATTTGCGTATTAATTTCTATGCAGTGGGGTAGCATAGTAGCACAGTGGTTAGGGATTCGAATCTCCGTCATGGCTTCATGTGCATGCGTGTGCGTGCCCTGCGATGGGATGGTGCCCCATCCTGGGTTATTCCCTGCCATGCTTCTGCAATAAGCTTTGGAACCCCAGGACCCTACATAGGACAAAGCGGGTATGGAAAATGGATGGATGTATATGCAATTGAAATGAAATGACATCTGTTCAGTATTTTGTAAATGCCTGTGATACACACTGACCGCTCCCATCCCTGTGGCTCTCCCCAAGGATTAAGACTTGCGTCGCACCCTTCTTCCTCACCCCTTTCAAGCTGACGGCTAGGAAGTTGGAAATTAATAGCTCTCTCTATGAGGTAAGATGACAGGCAGCTTCCTCTTCACTGATACCATTTAGTTCCATCCTGCTGGAGATGAAGGACACAACAAAGCTTTAAGAGGCTCTGCCACTCTGACCTTAAGTTCTCTGGCCTGAGGTGGGTCTGTGAGGACACTCCAGCTGCACAGATGTAAGTGTCAGAGTATAAAACGCAGGTAAATGCCAAAATAAAGGGGACACAACATACGCAAATAAGTCGTAGGGGTTCTAAAGCACATTTGAAGTAGGTGCTTTTACGCAGGTTTGTGTTTTGAGTTAATTAAGCAATTAACATCTGATTGATTTTAGGGTCAGATGTAAAAATGTGCGCTGGACTGTTATTTGTCTCTTGCTTTGGTTTGGTGTTTGGGGGCCCATTGAGCAGGAGCTTTGCTACTGAAGATTAGTCACTTGAAATATTCATTTCAATTCAATTCAATTCAATTCTTTATTGTCATGTGTACAAGTACAAGTACCGTGTACAATGAAATGCTTACTTGCATGAGCTCCTGCAGACAGTGAACATAGACAGCAAGACAGACAACATGATGACATGAGATGACATGAATGATAAAGTGAATTTTAAATAAGTAGAATAAATAAGACCAAGAGACAGAGAGAAGTATATGTGCGGGTAGCAGTGGAGGTGACACAGGTTACTGATTGTTCATGAGTCTGATTGCAGTTTGGTAGAAACTGTTCCTGAACCTGGAGGTACGCGTCCGAATGGACTTCAGTCGCTTCCCAGATGGTAGGAGGGTGGAAAGTGACAGTGCAGGGTGGCTGGGGTCCCGCCTGATACGGTTCACTTCCCTGAGACAGCGTGTAGTGAGGATGTCGTGGATCGCAGGGAGCTGTGTGCCCGTGATCTTCTGTGCTGAGTGCACCACACGCTGCAGAGCTCTGTGGTCCTGAACTGAGCAGCTGCTGTACCAGGATGTGATGCATCCTGTCAGGATGGATTCCACAGTACACCTGTAATAGTAATTAAGCTAAGAATGACGTCACTTATAAGGTTTATGCCCAGGTACCAAAGCTGTTTTGGCAACTTCCCGTGGCCTCCTGCCCCATGTGTGACGCATCTTTTAATAAAACGTCTATTTAACTACTATAAGAGATGCTGCTTAGGTCCCAGACATTATAATTCTAAACAACCATCCAACTTTAGGTCAGTGAGAAGATCAAGGCTCTGAAAGTTGAGGACTGCCCCTGTTCCACCATTCACGTGCTGGAGGAGAGCAGCATGGGGAAGCATCAGATGATGGAGATCAAGATCACGGGCAGTCAGCTCCCATACTGCCCTCAGTCACCTAGCAACAGTCTTTGTGGTCATGTGAACTCAGACATTTCAGGTATAACCAACATGACGTACATCTCCACGTCTGAGCCTTTGCCAAACCCCTACATCGTCATGCTAGCGGATTCTGCAGCTGGACCTCCGGGATACGTCACCACTACAGATAAGCTTTACTAAGACCATTTTTACCAGGAACCATCAGAACCACGGCCCAGCTTCAAATGGACCATTTGACTTGTTTTGCGGCTAAAATTATACAGAAGCTACTTGATATGCTAATTGCAAACTACTCCTTCAGAAAAGTGAGTTCCAGTTAATAATATAAAAGAGAAATAGAATTTATATTTAATCTGTTTCAGAGGAGACTGTCCCATTGTGATGTAAAGTTCTCTGTGCACATTGTGTTTGAAGCCACAGTTCTTACCTTCTGTAGTTAGCAGTAGCATTTCTGAATGAAAAAGTACAATGATTTTCTTTTGCAGGCCTGACATTAGCTAGTTAGGGTTTGTCTCACCTGAACACCATCAAACTAGCTTTAGTTGACATTTGGGATTGTATTGCGCTAAATTGTTGTCAGGAATAATTGTGATGTTGAAAGGACGTCTTGTGCCACAAGAAGTAAATGCTTGAAAATTGAGGTCAATGTTGCTTTTATTTAGAACATTTTAATCGTAAAGGTTAAGTGATTAATCAAGCCCGATTAATTAAGATCTCAAAACCCAGGGCACATGGGGTAAGAGAGGCAACAGTCCAAAATGAAGTCTTTTGAGTTTTTTGTGTTTAGTCTGCAGCTGTAATCCTTACTATGTAAAGTAAGTAAACATTTTGCTCAAAGAACAGTTTTCCAAGATTAATTGTTGCTTAAAAACAATGCTTCCAGTTGGAGCTAACTCAATTACATATTTTTGTATAAATATTACATATTACTACTTTTTCTCTAATGGTTAATCATATACTTATATAGGATTTATGTGTTTTTTTCTGTACATTCCCTTATGATAAAAAGCACTGTCAAGGTTAATCTTACCAGAACTCAATGTATCATCTTTTGATTAAAGATTTACTCTTTAATCAAAAAGAATTTTACTCTATGGATTTTGCATGTTTGATATTATGTGTGTAAGGAAAAGCAGTAAAGATGCCCCAATGTTCTTGGTTGATCATTTGAATACAGACAATGTTAGCAAGTTATGAACATGGGGGAAGTCAGGGAGAGAATAGGGGTTCCATTTGGCACCACTAGGGTGCTAAGGAAGATAATTCAATTGACAGTGGCCAGAGAAGTGGCTGAGCTACCATTTGCTCTCACGGGAAATCCCCGTCCTGTCCTGTCCCGTCCCTGTCTCAGGATCCTCACACTCCAGGGGGTCACTCTTTATATGTAAATTCACTCACAACATCTACACACAGCACCTTGGCGGGGAGGGTCTTTTGGGGTATAAAGGGGGGTGAAGAATTGCCGTTAATTTGTGTTTGAGCTGCCTTTCAGTACCCGGTGTATGTCTACACTGTATTACATTATATTATTTTTACTGTTCAATAAACCACCATTTTGCTGAAACTGCGGAGACTCTGCAAGTGGATTCCTTAAATTAAATGTGTCACTCATCATCACCCACTGCATCTTCATAGCTCACCATCACATGCCAATCCCAGTACATGGCCACACCTATTGGTTCATTCCAGGAATATCTAAAATAACTTGTGCAAAAGAGGAAGACAGCAAAAAAACATCATGAGAGCTCGTCCAGGGGTCAGAAAATAAGCGAAGATACTTGCATCCGTACTTCCATCTGCGTTGTGAAACAGGGCCATGCGTCAGCCAGCAGGCAAGATTTGCTTAACGTTTCAATAATAAGTTGGCAGAAGGAGACCTCACAATGCAATGGTACTGGGGAAAGGGGTTACCATGACGGTCATAGACCTGGTAGACGTCTGTACATTCATTGCGATGGTCCTGCTGCTGTGAAGAACAGAAGCTCTTAAACGAAAGGAAACATTAAAGAGGGAAACAAACAAAATCTGACGCAATACTAGCCACACTACTAGACAAACACAAAGCGGAAAGGAACTGAAGGCCATTTCGCAACCTGTCAGTCTTAATAGGAAGTCTGGCATCAGCGTTAAGGTAGTCCGGTTTGGACTCAGTGTCAAGTGGTGTTCTGAGGGCATATACCCACCCGCCAAGTGTGGCAAGTACCAGAGCCAGCTTTTTCCCTTTAAATAGGACAGGTCAAGTTACTTCCCTTGATACACCCGGTACCATCTTTCTTCTGGTAAAATGTTCCTGAAAGCATCATTAACTTTGTGCAGTGCTATAAGGAGCAGTCTGACTGACATCACCTTAGTAAAGTTAACTGAGCTTCATATTCTTTAAACTGTGGAGGAAACTTCCAGGAAACCATAGAGCCCACAAACTCCTCACACACAACAGGGGCGCCTATAAAGGGGCCCTAACCTTTATCTGTGCTCTATGATCTCTGCACTTTCTCCATATTTGTCAGCAGTTTTTGCTTCCTGCAGACATCTGTACCAATATATAAAGATTCTTCTCAAACAAAGAAGTCATTTCAGGACACAGAGGAGGGGAGGCATTCTGCGCACGACTGCCACGTCTGTGGAGTTTGCATGTTCTCCTCACGTCACGGAAGTTTCCCCCGCAGCCCTGAGACACGCATGTCGTGAGAGCAGGTATGTGCTCAGGGATGGAGCACCATCCCAGTAAGGCTGCTGCCTGAGATAAGCTCCAGTGCTCCCCAACCCTGACCAGGATAAGCATCTAGATGATGGATGGATGGATGGACTGCACCCTTTAAAATGCCGTGACCAGTACAGAGCACAGGCAAAGCCAAACAGCAGTCAGCTCTCCACCAGCAGAGGCAAAATGGGCTGCACAAGGGATTCTGGGAAGTTGATGTTTATTTTATTAACATTGTTACCCTTTAATAAGATTGTATGCTTCTGGGGATTTTTAATGCCCCAAAATGTACTATACACATTTTATTTTACAAGGAAAACCACAACTTGGGCAAAAACAAAACAAATTAAATTATACACAGCTTCATGAAATATTTTAAGGAAAAAATATAAATAGTTTTTTTTCATCTTTCTCTCTCGTTCAGTTATGGTACAGATATTAAATCACATCCAACATCCCTTCAGAGATCTACAAATACTCACTACAAACCCTCATGTGTAGCAGCATATTAACAAAAATAACAATAAAATAACCAAATAAAGAAGGGGGGCGTTTTTTCCCCAATACTAAAGCGATTACCAAGCCCTCTCCTGGCCTCGGCTAGAAATGGATGGAAACTGAATTCTGAATATTACATATTCATGTATTTCTGTTCTTCTTTTAAAGTTACTGTCATATTCCCAAATGATATTCACCATTCATGGGAACAATTAATTAAAGGTTTCAGGAAGAATAAAATGTTAAAAAAAGTAAACACATTTAAAATGGGTAAATTGAACCAAGATCTACCATGCAGTCAGCACATGCTATCTGTACACTTCAGCACCAATCAGGAAAAAAGGGGAAGAGCTTTCCTCTTCTGCTCAGCCAGGATAGACTCCCTCCGGGCTCATTCTGCAGTCACATGGCAGCAAGCGTCCAATCAGCGCGATGCGTCCAGCCCCTCCCTTTTGGCTTTAATTTTCTAATGCCACTGCCGGATCCTCCTCACAAAAAGCAGCCAGCCACTTAGGGAATACCAAGTAAACCCATATCAGGGCCCCGTAAATCCAGTATAACCATCCCAAACGAATTCCTTAAGTGATAATATGGTCAACCAAGGCCAGGATGGGCGGGTATGCCGAACTGCTCTTAGGCAACATCACCACGGTAACAGATCCAATGGGTTTTCCAAGAACATCCCAGTTCACGTGGTCATGATCCCGGGTTGGTGAAGATGCACAGCGGCCATCTTTTTTGTGCACAGGAGGAAAGGGCAGTCACAGGTGGCGCCAGCAATGATCCTGGGCAGGAAGATGTGGCAAGAAGGTCTGGGACAGAAACGGCACGTCACAGAAACCCAGACAGACGCAGGAAGTACCGGTGACTCGGAAATTCATTAGATACTACAATAAATTACAATTCTGCTGAATTCTGTTCCATCCATGGGATCCAAAGAAAATACAAAAATCTTTCTTAAAAAAACAAGAAAAAAAAAAAAAACTATAAAATTAAAGTGATTTAAGCATGACGGTCCAGCCACTGAGGTGAAGACCCACTGTCCTTGTGTCTCCTCTGAACTGCTTTGCTCTTTAAGGACGATGTAATGCAGACCGTTTCAGGAATAATATAACAAATGTCACCTTAAGCTCCGTGTGATTCCACTCAAATGTTCCTGGAGCTGTATTAACAACGAGCCAGCTGGACGGACCAGAGCCGCTGAGACCAAACGCAGCCAAGATCTTACACCAGTCCAGAGGAATATGGAGGGTAAAAATGCAAGAATTCTCTCACACACACACATACACAGACACACACACACACACACAGACACACACACACACACGGCAGGTATGTACCTGCATCTATACATACATACACACTGGCACACACAGACCCAACCTGCCCAAGGAGATGGATGCCCAAACCCAAATGGTTCCACTGCTTTTTCTGCATCCATTTCATTCCCTGTGCATTTCCCACAACTTAATTAGGAAATTTGGCTTGCAAATTTGCCCCCCTCCCCCAACCTGAAGAGCAGAGAATAAAAACAGCAACAAAAAAGGGGAAACTGACGTAAAACACAACAGGAAGCTGGCACCACTCGCGCTTCCATTACGCCATCGCCATCGCCTCCAGCTCCGCCCCCCAAGGGGAGACAGGGAGGGCCCACGACTCTGACACCTGATTGGCTGAACAATGTGAAAAGAGAACAGTAGAGGAAAAGAAATACTGTACAGTGTTTCTGTTTGATCACATGACAGGCGGTGTTAGGCCCTGCCTCCCATCACCGTATATGGGAACGGAGTTCCCAGTTAATGGCAGCTCGTTAGTGTTACACAGCGAGGGGATGGGTACCCGGCGGGGTGAGGGGAGGCAGGCGGGGGGGAACAGCGCACGTTTGTCATTTTTTCCGGTTACAGGATGCTCACTCACAGAACGAGAAACTAGAAAACCACGGCGGAAAGCTGACACCAGACAGTTCCCGGTTCGAGGCCCTCCATGTGGTCCATGCACCCGGGTCACTTTCATTACCAGAGTCCAAGCTGTACACGCCAGCAGGGAGGGATGTTCAGTGAAAGATGCAGCTGCCCGCGAAACCCAGTCAGGACGCGGACCAGAGCGCGCAGGCAGAGGACATTCCGAGAAACTCCCGCCAATCCCACGTCCGCTCTGTCTGAGGTACGGCCCGCTCCACGTGAGTTGGGGAGGTGGGATCTGGGGCTTGCAATGTAGGAGTCCAAGTGCAGTCACAGAAAGGTGCAGGACGATCAGCATTCCGACGAGTTGGCAGCAGCGTGCTTTGGACTGCTAAGGACAACATCGGCTTCCTCATACATCTGCAAGCAAGAAAAGAAGATACACTGTCAGACAACTGCAGGGTGGGTGGGGGGGCAGGCAGAGAGAGGGGGGACAGAGTAAGAGATGGAGAGAGCTCAAGAAAGGAAGGGGGACAGAGGGAGGGGACAGACAGAGAGATGAGAGCTGAAGAGAGAGGGGGGGGCAGAGGGGTACTTTGGGTCCCTACAATCAATCCATAAGCCACCTGTGGAGCCGCTGAGACCCTGAGGGAACAGTATCACAGCACTAAGTACTATATACAGAAAATACACCATGCTGTACTGTTACCATAGTAACAGCATCACAGCACTAAGTACTACATACAGAAAATACTATGGTAACAGTACAGCATGGTGAAACAATATCACAGCACTAAGTACTATATACAGAAAATACACCATGCTGTACTGCTACTATAGTAACAGCATCACAGCACTAAGTACTACATACAGAAAATACACCATGCTGTACTGCTACTATAGTAACAGTATCACAGCACTGAGGACTATATACAGAAAATACACCATGCTGTACTGCTACTATAGTAACAGTATCACAGCACTGAGGACTATATACAGAAAATACACCATGCTGTACTGCTACTATAGTAACAGTATCACAGCACTAAGTACTATATACAGAAAATACA